TATATATATATATATATATATATATATATCGTCAAATAGAACTGCCCGGTAAACCGTAGGCAGAGAGGGAGAAGAGGACAGCAAACGAGGGGCTGTGACAAACTGTTTCGTATATATATATATATATCGTCACAAACAGAATTATGAAGAAGATGACATGAGCATTAATTGATATCATGACGCTATCGACTTGTCCACCACCTTCACCTCAACAGTCAATGGAACAACTGTTGAGGACGCAATCCTTCCACTCCTACGCCATTCAGATTGACGATTGGCCTGACTACGGCCAATAGATTTATAGTAAATTTTATACTAGATTTCCCAACTTTACAGGAGAGGCCTGGCCTTTCGGAGTCAGCCCGTCGGATTGACAATCCGGCAGCCATGGATGGCCCAACGGACGTTCTGATGCGCCATGATCTTTTCGGTGCAGTTTTACTGTTTTTGAGTGCAGGTTCCTTGATTTGGTCTGATTGGCAAGCTATGCACCAAATGAGGGGGGGGAGGGTTAAAGCACTAGTACCTCCGGCAGGCCAGTAGGAACTCCCAGCAAATCGGAGGCCAGGCCCAACGACAGCTGCCATTGATAAATCTCATCGGTGGCCGTCGTTTCGTTTCGGCCTTCCTAAAAGGTCGGAGGCCCGCCCGAGGCCCGCTATGTTCCCACTCGGCAAAGGTACTAGTACCTCTGCCTGTGTTGGAAAATAGGGGGGGGAACTGCCAGTTTTCCCAAACTCCCGACAAATCGGAGGCTGGGCCCTACGACCGCTGCCATTGATAAATCTCATCGGCGGCCGTCATTTCGTTTCGGCCTTCCTAAAAGATCGGAGGCCTGCCCGAGGCCCGCTATGTTCCCACTCAGCAAAGGTACAAGTACCTCCGCCAGTGTTGGGAAAGTACTCCCAACAAATCGGAGGCCGAGCCCGACGACGGCTGCCATTGATAAATCTCATCGGCGGCCGTTGTTTCGTTTCGGCCTTCCTAAAAGGTCGGAGGCCCGCCCGAGGCCCGCTATGTTCCCACTAGGCAAAGGTACTCCTGGTCTTCTTGAGCCTGTATTATCGCCGTTGTAAGAAAGAACTCCGGCAGCATGGCCTCTACTTTCATCAACACTGCCGCAGTGACCCAATGCGCTAATATCAATCACGACATAACGTACACAAGGGTTCGGCCTCCCAATGAGCGAGCAAAAAATTCCATGAAAAGGAGTCTGTCGCAACCCCCCGCCCATACCTTGCCCTTGTCCTTTTCTCCCTTCCTGCCTACAGTCCACCAGGCAGTTCACAGTGAGGAGATGGAGAGCTGCCCCGTCAGCTGTGTCGGCAGACAGCGAGAAAAGGACAAGAAACGGGAGAGAGGGTTGGTGGTTCCCACCCACAGACAGGTCAGAGTTTCTTTCACCGACTCGTGAGGAGGCTGAACCCTCTCTACAGCCTGGAGAGAGGGTTGGTGGTCCCCACCCACCCTAACACATAAATAAAACTCTTAAGTCCGAACCAATCCACCTTAACAACGGTTGCGGTTGAGCATCAACTACTGCCCCACAACTGACACCCTGAGGTGGGTGGGGACCACCAACAACCACTGCCATCTATGTTGTTACCTTATCTATCAAGTAGTGTCGACTAAACGAGTGCATGCACTCTGTAAAAAAACAACCGATAAAAATACATTAAGACAAACAAGGGAGATCACAACACTGAAGCCGTTCTTTTGACGATCATTTCTTCTTCTAGCTCCTCTACCCTTTACTGTGCCTCTCACGTACAAGGCTCGCCATGTTGATGACGTTGACCGTGAGTTGCCCGCATCCCCCCGTGTGTCAAAACGGCCTACTTGAATGTAGATTTCCCTGTTCTGCAGTTAGAAGTTTCCACGGAGATGGATCAAATACATTTTGTCCCACATACCATTTCATCCCACGTATATCGTATCGATGAGATATACGATATCAATCGCACTAATCGATGAGATATAAGATATCGATCGCACTAATCGATGAGATATACGATATCGATCGTACTAATCGATGAGATATAAGATATCGATCGCACTAATCGATTAGATACAAGATATCGATCGCACTACGATGGCTTACTGTCTATACATCTACAAATAGGTGCCAATCGGAGTATGTATTGTAATTTGTATTGAATATCGACATGAATACAACGTCACGGGTCTCACTTCACTCACAAACCCGATCCTTTTCCAAGAAAGGCCATATACGTATGTATTCCGTAATAAAATAAATTGTCTGTATACGTGATCCTACGAGCGCAAGAGCGTTTTCTTTTATTTACTTTGGCTTCTCTAATAGGACGGCGGTATGGTCTCCTTGTCTTAATTCTAGAAGAATGGTAAAACAACCGGGGTACGGTCACCTTGGTCGATTCCTGGTAGAGCACCAGTAAGACAAGGGTGAGGTGGAATTATCGAAAGGGTCGCGTAGGCACCGACCGGGGAGGTACATGCATGATTACGAAGGTCACGGGGTATGGAGCAAAACGCTCAAATTCAGCTGAAAGCCAATTTTCGAACAGGCAAAATGGATGGGTGGAACGTCATTTAGGATTTTGTTGGGTTTTGTCGATTTGTCCTTCTGAAGTTTTTCTGGGTCGTTTCTGTTGTTTTTTTTTGGATTTTTTCTGGATGTTTTCTGGACTTACCGAATTGTCGTCTTCGGTTCGTTTATTCCATTTCCCTGTTTCAATAGATCTAGAGACGATTCCTGGTTTCCTTCTCTTGGATTCGGTTTTATGTTTCCTTTGGTTGTTTTCGTGCAATTTCTATCTCCAGGTTTCCATGAAATAAAACGTTTTCCGTGAAATATAACATTCTTCGGAGGGCGCACTTTGACTTGGAAGTTCAACCAGATATCCGTAGTTACGTAAGGAAGTGGAACTGGGCGGCGAGAGAAGAAATGGTGGGAAAACGTGTAAACCTGCCAAGAGGAGGGTAACTCTGAAGTAGACACGCATGAAAACGATTTTTTTGAAGGCTTTTTGGCTAAAAATAGATCAAGTGAAATGTATCTGTTCTGATCGGTTTAATATCTGATCCATGGTCCATCAGACCACACACACAAAAAAAAAAAAAAGAAGGAAACGTACTAAACGATAGATGGTGACCAGGGAGGTTGTGACAAGTGGGACTTAGTGCAAGAACTGAGCCAGAGGCAGGTAAGGGTGTGAGCTTTCTCGAGTACGAAGTTAGTAGGCTAGAGCAGCGTCATAGGGAGAAGCTCGACTATAAGTAGGTTAGCAAGTAGACCTTTAAAAATCTTGAACCGCCGCCCCTGATGAGGTCGCTATCTGGCGGCGACCGAAACTAGTCGGGGATGCCAGCTCCTCGGTCTTTTGGGTACCATTCCGTGCTTTCGAAGAAGATGGAGGTGCCATAGCTAAGGCTATGGAATGTGCTTCATTTCTGTATTCTATGGATTTCGATATTGTTTTCACATATGATCGCTGTGCATGTCACGGCTATGTGTCAAGCATCTGTCGGTCTTGATTTGACTGACTCTGCTTTTCTATCACTACCAGCGTGGCCCCGGACCATTTGCCCCGCGGGCCAATATATCGTCACACTGTGAATCAGAGCGCGAAGGCGAACAAAAGCAAAACAAGGAAAGGAAAAGAAGGAAAGCCCCACCTGTTCATCACCTCTTACGTACAAGGCCAGCCACATGGATGACAGGTTGAGCGCTGGCTGCCCCCATCCCCGTGTGTCACAAGGAC